TTCCCATCAAGGTCTGCTTTAACATGTGTAGGGACATCCAAATGTGTAAGGCTATTGGAAACCAAAAAAATAAAGGAATGGGATAGCTATAATTGGATAAATTCGGCATATGAAAACACCAAAATCAATGATTTTTTTCAGTGGCTGTGTGACCTTGTGTCTGACACATTCACATGCAAATGACTAATCTGTGAAACAAACAGGGGCGGAGACAAACCACTCAAATGTTTGGAAACACTCATTGTGTGTCAGATAGCTACTGATAACACATCCTAACATTGCATTGTCTTGAGTTTATCTTTGAAACTTATAGGCACACAGATTAAACCTGTGTTGTTGATTTTGGAAAACACTACTTGCTTCCCTTCAGAAAATCTACATTTTAACCAACTTACATGACATTCTATGTTATGTTGACTTTATCACATGAAAGTTTATAGTGCATTTCATCAATTAATAAATAAATGTGAAAATCGTAATTTTCAACGCAAATAATAGTCTCGCTACCTTAAGTGAACATTTAAATAAATACTAAATGCTAATAGATTGGAAATTAAAACATTGTACTGTTCTAGTATAGAGAGTGTATTTACAGGATTTTAGACATTGTACGTTAACTCCAAATACCACTGCCAGGATGCTATGTCAATCAGTGACAAGGCAACTCAGAAAAACAAATATAATACAGCTTACCCATTTTAGAGTTGCCTAAACATGTCACACTGCTGCTGTTAATTCTTAATCCAAGCTGGCAAATATCTTTCGCCTAAATCGAACAAAATTTTTATACAATTAGTGTAATTACAAACTTCCAATTTCAAATACATGTCAATCAATCATGAGTCTAGATAGACACACTCAGGAATGAGAGAACAACTCTAATTAATGGTCCATATCAAAATTACAAATTGGTATTTACGTAAAACATGAATAATTATTTCTTTCAACTAAAAGTGAATATTGTAGAAGAGAAATTATTCACAGGGTTTAATTTCACTGGTTTGTGAAAGAAACGATACATTCTAATCCATTTAAAGTATTGCAATGAAAACTGCAATAGTAATATATCACCAATGCTGTACATCAAATTCACCAAAGCAACGGTTATAATTCAGCCTTCTAATTTAACAGTCACTTATAATTTTGTTTTCCTTATATGAATGTTATTATAAAAGCATTTAGACAAAGACAATTATGAATATTAAAAATATTATTTTATTTTCATGCTCACCTGATCAATATTGTCAACACAAAAGAAAGCATAGTGCTCATTTAATTCTTTGTCTGTTCTCCCTTCTGATTTCATTTCTTTTCGTTTTTCTTGAAACTGAAAAAAATAAAATAAAAACATAGGATAACTCGCACTGCACAAATTAACATACTCAGTCATGCATACAATGCTCACTAAATATGGCCATCACAAAATATTAAAAAACAAAAATATAATAATCAAATTTAAACTTAAATAAAAATGTGTGGAAAGCGAATTTGAAACTGGATTTATATAAAGCAAAATGTTTTTAAATTGGTATTTGCAGTCAGATTTCACAAAGGGAGTGTGACTCATAGTTACATAGTCTATTGTGAATTCATGGTATGTTTTATCAAACAATGGATAGGAATAACAATTGTTCAAACTAGCCTAGGGGAACATGCCTGTTGACAGACAATGCTAGGAACCCCCAGCAATAATCTCTTCAAGGTCATTCAATAAAAAGGTTAACAGTTAGTGTTTTATAACACTACTCAAAACTCAAAATTAATGTTCTGTTTGAACATGATGTTTGATACATGCAATTTATAAACAAAGAATGTCTGTAACTGAAAAAAAACTGAAAATAATGCTGGCATAATTCTAGATAACATGAACTCAATACACACACACTTGCAGTTTATTTGGGACATAAAGACCAATAAAAATGCCAACATCAGAAAGGTAAATAAAGCAGGTAATTGAAGATATTAACCATTTTATGGCTATCTTTTAATTGTTTGTTGATTTATTATACTTTCTTCACATACACCATTACATTAAACATTTGAATACTAATATTCTTTTTTTGCTCAGATACAAATGGACCTGTGTTTTACCTCATCATATTCAATCCCATAATCTTAATATTAATTTAAGCAAATAAACATCATAATTTTCGTCACAAATTTGATCATGAAAGCACAACATCACCACCATACAAGCTGTAACACAGCCCAGATTCACAATATCTAGCAACCTAAAGCTTATATTACGGTATATCGCACAAATGAACAGTTAGAAGTGATAATCATGGATAAACCTGATCATGAATATATATTAGTAACAGTTGCATGGCACATGCGTTTTACCTCTCTGTTCAGGTCAGCATTATGAACTAGATAAGCAGACTGATACGTGAATGTAGACTTGGAGGATCGTTCACGATAATGTTGGGAAACCATTGGCAGAATGTCCCTAGCATACTCTCTCGAATCCAGTGATAAGCTTTGTAGTAAATCTGGTGGGAGGAAGAAAAAAAAAATGTAACCCACAAATTTTGGTCAGTGTGTTAAATATGTTCATTTACCCCTACACAATATTGTTTACATTGTTGGTACTATAAATGACAGAGGTTTGAAAATTTGAGGGCACTTTTTCATAGGTAGAAAATTGGACCATTTTTTCTGTCATGCAAAATTTGGGAAAAATTGTCTATCACCAAATAAAACGACTTTAAATAGTTTACCAAGACAGTGGTGTACAACAACAAAAAAGAAGACTGCACACCTATTGGAACCAGACAAATGTCAATCAAAAGAAAATATAATATTGATTACTATTTACATAAAAAACGTCACAGATATAAAGTAAATCATAGGTAGAGCATTGCATAGTTTGCCAGGGTAGGACGGCAGATGTAATGATGACGTTTGCGTTGGTAAATTCCCAAGACAAAAAACAATTAATTAAAACTATAAATATACACATTCGTTTCGAATCATGTATTTTTAGGTAATTTTGTAAGATTTTTATTTACAAATTTCGTATAGATAATTTTGACATTCTGGATATGGTCTGTTGATAAAAAAAATAATCGTAAATATTCACGTGAATAATCATCACCATCGATCGAATTTGCAGTTTCGGGCGTAGTTGTTGTTGTGCCCGATTAACAGTTCGTTACTTATACTTATCGCGACTCGCAATCACATGCCCAACTCGACATTAAAATAACTCAGTGTAGACATTACCCTTGTTCTCCTTCTTCTTCCGGGGAATAACAAACGTCTTCATGGGCGAGATCGGCATATATTTGTGATCAGGTTCATGGTCTTCGTGATTTTCGCCAACACTGTCGTCTGTTAGACTGCATGTGGGTGAACTTTGCAACACGACTTCAGTGTCTTCGCTCTGTTGTAAGTCCGCCATGTTGGCTGACTCGTCGTTGAATTTGTTTGATTCTTCAGTTGACCTATGTATTTCTGCGATTCTTTCCGTGGCGTTTGTACGCCTACTCTCATCCCGGGAACCATCTTCGTCGCTTTCTTGGTTACCCAAGTTCAATATGTCAAACAAATTAGCCATGTCACATCGTCTATGGCGACATTAGCTCCGTGTTTACATGACTTCTGCACGTGTGTTTCCACGGCTCGTACTGTTTCTAATTCTCTCGATGGCTAGGACATGTAAACCAATCCGGGGCGTTCTTTTATGAACACACACAGGAACGCGAGTTCTTTATGAATAATGAGACACACAATTGGTGAACCTGTGGAGGTCAGTAAAGGTCAAGCAAAGCATCAGCTGATGATCGGCGATCAACCTAAAATGGGAGCGATTTGATCCGTTAAAAGTATCGGAGCTGCGTTGTTTGATGAAAACAGTTAAATGGAACGTTATTATTTTGGTAGGTACTGCACTAATGGCGGCAAAGTACGTCATTTGCGTAACAAATAAAGTGTCCACAAGCGGGAAATAATTCGTGCATAGAATACATTTATACTCGGTCTCCGTCATTAATTTTAATAATAACAAATAAAACCACCATTATTAAATTATTAAAAAAGGGAAATCAATCCCGGTGTTTGCACATTGTTTACACTTTTAATTACTTGTAATCAGTCTTTTGTTTCCCATTGTATAATTTTAAGTAAATTTGCCAGATGATAACAATAATGTTTATTAACATATATTCCACAGAATGGTAATTACAGAATAAATAATAACAGCAAAATACAGAGCAATACAATCTAACTAAACAAACTAAAAAGCAAGAGAAAAGGGCAACCATTATTCACCCTCAACGTGAAAAACTGTTTTGGGTACTGTATATAGAGCTTGATGATGGATGTTGAGACTCTTTTTAATGAACTGTGTTATTTGAATACAGATTTGTTCATTAGTGAGGAATCCTTTCAGTTTCCCTGTTCGTTGTTTACAAAATAGTGCTGAAAGTTTACCAACATGTTTTTGTACGTTTCCAAGTTAGGTTATTAGCTAGTCAATGCAACTCCCACCTGGTGCGTTATGTGACTTATGCATGTATGTTTTGTGGTTGATAAGTAAGACATTGGTACTCAAAGCAGCCCCAGGGGCTCAGGATAGTTCAGGTTGAAAAAAATAAAATGTTTCAGGAATAATTTAACCCTTATCCTGCCAGCCCCTTGTACTATTACAGTGATTTGATCAGATGGGTTAAGGAAAAAAGGATGACCAAGAAAAGATAAAGACAGAGAGTGGGAGAATAGGGTAGGGGATGATTATAGAAGTAAATCAATTTTTGTTTGTTGTGGAGGTGGGGCACAACACATAGTATTTATTTATACGTACTAGTAACTTTTTCGTAGCAAATTTTAAATAAATCATTCTCACAATTAATTTGAGTGATGAATGTTGAGCCAAAACTGGACACTAGAAAGAAATAAAGACAGAGTGGGAGAATAGGGTAGGGGATGATTATAGTAGTAAATCAATTTTTGTTTGTTGTGGAGGTGGGGCACTACATATAGTATTTATTTATACGTACTAGTAACGTTTTGGAAGCAAATTTTAAATAAATCATTCTCACAATTAATTTGAGTGATGAATGTTGAGCCAAAACTGGACACTAGTAGAAAGAAGAATAGTTTACCATATTAATAGGACCTAGCAAAAAAAAAAAATTGCAAGAATTTTTTTTTTTGGCCATTATGATTGTTGTTGACAGCTATATCTTCTAGTGCTGCCTAAGGTTTGGGTTAGCCTAAGGTTTGGGTTAGCCTAAGGCTTGCCTTAGTTTCAGTGTGAAATTACCTTAAGTCACGTTAAGACATGTATGCGCATTATGCTGATAGACATTGTGGGCTCTTGAGCCAATCAATATTAAATACATGTATTTGAGTTTGAATGAAAGCTGATGGTCTGTATTGACATTGTTTTTATTAATGTGTTTTTAAACTAATGAACAGCCTTCTGTAATATAAAACATCATTATATATCTGGTAGTAAAAACAATAGAATGTATTTGCATGTAAGAATTTGAATTGTCAAATATTTTTCGCTGGGGTTTTGTGTTTTTGCGTCCAAAATATGATTCAAATCAAGTCAACTTGATCACAAGAATGCCACACTGTATGCATTCAAGAGCAATATAGCCTGGTTCACATGTGCTGAGAAATGAAGGGTTTGAGCACTTTGTAAATATTCCTTGTAGTGGTTTATCTTTAAATCGGTGTTCACACCTATTCATGTCCTCTATGGAGACTTAATTTTAACACTAATAGTATATAAAAATGGCCGACCAAAACATTGTGTTACTGTTGTATCTTTTTTCACTTTTACGTTGAAGACGTTGTTTAAGAGGACAATCATTGCGTCCGTTATCACTTTTGTGTTGTGGAGATTCAGGATTGGAGTTGGAAATTGAATGTTTAATGACGAACCAGCAAAGGTCAAATTGTTTTTCTGCTTTGAGCAAATTAACACGTTCATTGTCATGCTTATTGTATGATCTACCTGGGTTAGGCCATGCTCACGAGCTGTTTGCATGTTGTCTGCAACCTTGTAGTGTAATGACACAATATCATTTTGATTGGCATTAGAGGGTGTTGTTAGACTATGAGTCCATGTTCACGAGTGTCTCATCTTGAGGGTTAAATACAGAACTCAGGGTCAAGACTTTGACTCCAAGCGAATTTAAACTAACTTAGGACAAGACTGGATCAATCTGTTTAACAGTGGGTTAAACTGAACTGTGGGTTGCGCTCTGTGTTTTGCTACACGTGTGAACACCCTATTTGTGATTGCATTGTCTTATACTTTATGATATTCACATAATAACCACACGTTGTTTATTTGGTTGGCTTGAGACAAAAATTTCTATATAACTGCTCATGAAAATATGTTCAAAATGTTCTTTACTTCTGCTATATCAGTGTACGAAGTATGTTTATACCTCCATGTATGTACTTACTCAAAAATTTACAAATCTAACATCATGACTTTTGCTTACAACTTGAATAATGCTTTATCATTTATCACATTTGTGAAGATTCCTGGACTTTAGCCGATAGAAGTCTCATGCACCATGCTGCAGCTAACGGCGAGATATTGGGATTACACAAACTGATTGAGAAAGGCGACTCTGTGAATATTTCAACTATTGATGGAGTTACGCCTTTACATGAAGCATGCCTGCAAGGAAGACTAAATTGTGTGCGCAAGCTTGTTAATGCTGGTGCTAGGGTATGTACAATTGTTTCCCGAATTTTTGTGCCAAACAAAAATATTCCAATGCTTCAGACGTCTTCACAAACTTTTTATTTAGGTGCTACCTATT